GTTTGACGGCCTGGCCTCGCCAGCTCAGTCCAGGCGTCCTGGCGGCCCGGCACCCCTCGACTCCGGACTCCTCGAGGCTCCACGCCTCGTGGCCGACCGACGCCGGGGCCAGAGCTCCGGGGGTCCCGACAGTGCCGACGTTGCCGACCGTCCCTGGGGCTGGCGTCGGGTTAGTGGCGACCAGAAGAGGAGGATCAGACAACGCCTGGCCGGTCGTGGAGTTCGGGCCAACGCCAGATCGCAGACTGGCCTCCAGAGAGGGGAGGCCGTCGAAATGGCGCGACATGTAGTCGAGGCCGGCTTTCTCGGAGGAGATCGACAAGCAGCTGGCGGGCAGCAGAAGAATCTGGACATGGGGCATCGGGTGGCGGACAAAGATGAGCAGATTTCAGGGAGGGGTTGAGGTGGGTGCAAAGAGTGAAAGCCCGTCTGGTGAGGCTATTCAGAGCTCAAACCGGCCCGAGCCTCTCCTGGAGCCCTCAGCTCGATGCCGCCCTTGAGGCTGCCTCTCTAGACATCCACAAAAGAGGATACCAATTTGAGGAGTCAGGCAGCGGAGAAGACAACGGCCCGCAGTACAGCCAGAAGAATACGGCGTCGTTTTGTGGTGGGCTCGAGCTGAACGTGGCTAGACCGAAAGATTCCTTGAAGACCCCAATTAGTTACCCTCAGCCTGGCGGAACCCTCTCAAGGGAAACCTGAATCACCCACTTTGGGCTCATACTCGCCTTCACCCAGACCGAATGCTCACGTCTTAGTGAACCTCACTTTGGTTCCCGGCTCCGGCTTCATTCGGTTAGTGTGTTATGCGAGTGTGTCTGTCCGAAACACATCACCACGCCGAACCGCCTCGGCAACCGCCCTGAATGGCCGGCATGTGGAGTCGGATTCTGACCAACGAACTGACAGTTGAAGCCAAGTTCACATACACTTACTCGCCAAAAGCTATCCTCATCCCGACTGGAGTGGACTACAGATCCGACCTCGCTCCAACTGGTCGCATCAACACCTCCAGGCGACTCGGACCAAGGTTGTGGTGGTGCAGCGTAAACTCTCGACACATTACACTTGCATAAGAGCCCATGACTCACAGGGCTTGTGGAACGAAGAGACCTGTCGACTACACTACTTATATTGAGAGAAAGTAGTTGTCGAAATC